GAATTGGTCTAAAAAGTCTTGACTGGTTATTGTACTATGTTGCGCAATAGGACGAAACCCAGTTAGGAGGAAACGAGACTGTTGTGTAATCAATGTTTTGACTTGGTCTGGAAAGTACAATATCAGATTGTTAAAATAAAACAACAAAATATCTCTTTGCAGCGGTTAAACGTTTGGTAACACATGCTAGCCCTCTAACTGTGTCATACTCTGCAACTGTAACCCGTCAGGCTACAAAGTCTGTTAAATCAGTTGGGTGCCATACAGAAATGACCTGGGTGAATACTGCGAAATATTTAATTTGTGAAACGCAAAATGTTGCATCAACGCAACCAAAATCATAATCCCGTAAACAATCTCGGTCACCATCACCTGTTATAGTAAATGCCAGCAAGACAGTCAACTATATTTAAAAATTGGATCGGGTACCAAATGGCCAACGGAGTCCGGTACAAATATTTAATAAATATCAACTTCTGGAAGATATTGATGTCACTCTTCACCAACGTGTGCGCCACAAAGTCACTCGCCACGGTCTATGAACAGATCCCGTGTACAACCACCCAAAGTAACATGAATACAAGTAATACACTTATCTAGTGGAACTGCAGGGGACTTTGGACCAACTTAAATGAAATACAGCTATTAGTACCCACATTTTCAACCTTCATTTTTCTGTCTCAAAGAAATATACCCTCAAACAGATAAATTTGGCTTAGGTCAATACAGCTCTCGCCATTCCTTTTCTCTTCCGGGCGACAAAGTCACTGGCGGTTCCTCTATCTTGGTGAGGCATGGTATTATACACAGCCCTGTTCATCTCACTACTAACCTGGGGCGGTGAGGCAGCCCAGTGGTTAAAGCATTCGCCTCGTCACGCTGGAGGCCCGGGTTCGATTCCCTACATGGGTACAATGTGTGAAGCCCATTTCTGGTGTCCCCGCCGTGATGTTGCTGGAATAGTGCTAAAAGCGGCGTAAAACCAAACTCAGTCAGTCAGTGTTAGACTAAGAGTCAAACCATTCCTTTCTGCTGCTGGTATTGAGCAAGAAAATATAGCTCCTTCACGTCTTCTTTCTTCTTCTCCTTGGCAATTAGTGAGGCCACAAGTTCACCTTATATTTACTACATTTCAAAATCTGAAACTAAAGAATTACAATATAACCAAGAATTTAATCAATTAAAAAGTAAATATAATACGTACAAATCCATATTTACAGATGGGTCCAAGGGTGCAGATGGCATGTGCCACTGTAATTGAATCCAGAACAATATCTTCTCCCTTTACCAGATCACAGCTGTATTTTCACAGCCGAATCAAACGCCATATTAACAGCGATTAAAATATATTAAAACACCCTTTAGAAATACAAACAATATATCATCTTTCTGACACTCTTTATTGCCTTCAGGCCATTAAAAATCTTTCTTGCCAACATCCACTTTAATAGAAATTCATTGAATTATATATTGATCTTGCTACTTGCGAATACGACATCGTCTTTTGTTGGATACCTAGCCACGTCAGCATTTCTGGGAACACAGCGGCCGATCCTGTAGCTAAAGCAGCACTCAACAAATCTGTGACACCACTTCTCATTCCATAAAAGCTATCATTAGATCGTACAAATGTGATCTGATGCAAAAGAAGTGGGACACCCAAGTAGGTATCAATAAATTACATCAATGAAAACAAACCATCGGTTACACCTACTTTGGGTTGTCAGTCCAGCTTTGAGGAGGTCATTATGTCCTGCTTGACTGTGTTGATATTTCCATCACAAGGGATAGGTATTTCAAAACATTGAAGGATCTTTTTAGTTTGAATTATCATTTAAGCATTGCATTTTAAAAGAAATAGAGTTATTAAATAAATTTTGATTTAAGTTGTGTAAATAGATAAATCTGTTATGATATTCTGGTTGTTTTACTGTCCTTCGGTCCAAAAATTTCCATTTTAATTACTATAAATCTAAAACTTGATTTAGTCACGATATGGTGCCGATGGGACTTTAAAATCTGAACCCACTCACTCACTTTCACAGTTGCAGTTGCCCATGATCTGCGGCATAGTACCTCAGCTAACAGAATCATACAACTGTCTTATACACGTTTTATGATTAAGTGTGGTAATCTTGGTTGCGACCTTCAACTCCTCTTGACCTCAACCGTTGCCGTGGGTGTCTGGGGTCTGTGTCAAGGTCTGGGAGTTACGAACAACTTAGCAGCTCAGATCGTTCTGAGTGAGTGAGTACGCCGCTTTTAGCAATATTCCAGCGATATCGAAGGGGAACACCAAAATGGGCATTGTACCCATGTGGGGAATCGAACCCGGTCCTCGGCGTGACGAGCGAACTAGACCCCTAGGCTTCCCAAAAGTCCCAGATCATTCTGTTCAACGGTACCCTGGTCGACTGAATGTCGACCACCGCTGTGTCGAACTTTGATGTATCGACCGTACGGTTGCTTCAAAGTAAAAGCTTGGTACCTGCATATTCCAAATTTAGTCATCATCTGCTGCGGTGTCGAACTTCGAATAACTCGAAGTTTTACAGCTTCGACTATTTTATAGAGACTCAAAACAGGTATGTTCCTACGTGGTATCGTGATTTTCATGGGTATTGTATTGTAACAGACTAACGGCACTTGATTGACACATTTCATGGTATCCAAATTGTGTAGATCGATGCTCATGATGTTGACAACTGGACTCAATTATTTACAGACCGCCGCCATATAGCTGGTAGGGCTGCGCAATATAACCGGTTTACCGGTATTTACCAGTTCAGACATGAAAACGGTGCGTATTGCGATACGCTGATCGAAAACCGGTATTTTGATGCATTCGGACTACTTTGAAACACTCGGAAATCGGATATTTCCTTGTTTTATTTGTGCCAAATATTATTTACATTTTTATTTTGTCATGATTAAAAGTTTTTATTAAAGCTTAATCGAGCATGATTTTGTTGTGTTCATGCTTTATAAATCAAGCATTGCCTCGATTATAAGTAGTTTTTTGTTTTAAAATACTTCTTGCAATATATTGCAATACATATCGCAATATATGCTTTCGTATCGCAATATGAAAATTCTCTGCAATACCAGCCCCTAATAGCTGGAATACCATATAGCTGAAGAAAGATGAAGAAGAGTGATGAAGAAGTGTTGTAACTCATACTGCTCACACAGCAAATTACACTGTGTATGTAGAAATGGGACCTCAAAATCTTACAAATAATTTGTTAGGTGTGATAATGCGTGACAATGTCATTCTTTAATTGTTCATCTACATTTAAAGCTGATATGCATTGCCTATAGTCTGTTTGCAGTGAAAACGTACCGATGAATTTCGCTTGAACCGAAAAAGCATATCAAATAAAGTGAAATGAAGATTGCGAATCCTCTTACCTTGCCAATTGAACATTTAAATCTCAGAATTTGATTTATCTTAGGATAAAAGTTGTTTAACAAACGATCATAGATTCAAATCGCTATTATTGGTTTGTATTAAAAGGGTTAAGCGTAGTAGTTGGAACAGTGAAACAAATGCACGTGCGGTACGTGATGAGCGTTAACTTAGAACAACCATACTTGTTCTAGGTGTTTCATCTAATGTGCATACCCCCTTGTAATACAAACCAATAATAGCGATTTGAATCTATGATCGTTTGTTGAACACCTTTTATCCTAAGATGAATAAAATTCTGAGATTTAAATGTTCAATTGACAAGGTAAAATATGAAGATTCGCAATCATATTTTTACTTTATTCGATTTAATTTTTGTTTAAAGTGAAATTCATCGGTACGTTTTCACTGCAAACAGACTACAGCAATTTGACATTCTAAGTTTCTGTCTCCCCCAGCCGTCTTCTTCATGCTGCTGATGAGTACCGGCTATCTACGTGTCTTTGGCATCCTCTACTTGGAGATCCAGGGAGAGTTCGCGTCCTCGGCATCGATTACGGCGTCTATTATGGCCGTTTACGCCGTCGTCTTCAGCATCATGTGTGAGTCATTGTATGTTGTTTAAGCATGATCGTAAAATTATTTGGCTTTGTGTGTGTTTGTATTGATGAGGCGGGTTGGCTTTGTCACAAAGACCTCATCACTTTAGAATATCAATTCATAAACATATGCTAATTATAGTGGTACAATGAAAACTACCTTAAGAAAAATATGTATTTGTACTGTATATTTACAATATATGAAGTAGATTTGAATAATGAATATATGTAGGAATGCTTGCAACATAGTTTTGATAACCTCCTGACCAGGTAGCATCTCATGCACTTTGTAAAGTTTCCAGCTCATGGGAATATGTTTGGTCACAGTGCATATTCAAGTTTGATTCCCCGCAAAGGTGCAAAATGTAGAGCTGGTCTCCTGAGCCACATCCCGTATTCTGAGCTGAAAAGGTGTTATATAGGGAAGGAAGCATTTAGAATGAAACTTAAAACAATCCAATAAAGTGTAGACAACCCCATCTTGATTGTACAGCTCTGTTTGCGTGCAACATCCTCCTGGAGAAGTTGTCAGCGAGGACGGTGACGTTGGTTGGAGGCATCCTCTTCGCTCTAGGAATTGGGTTGGGAGTCTTTGCTCAGTCAATCGGATTCCTTCTGTTTACGACTGGAGTTTGCGTTGGTAAGGAAAGCAATATATCTCAACCATCGGACCAGCCTTCGGTCTGACTGGGACGTTATTCATATCCCTACGTTGTCATAACAGCTGAGTGAGTGAGTGTATTTCCACTGTGTGACAAACAAAATATATGATATGATTCATATAAATGTCAAAACAGCTGTCGTAGTTACTTGTATGGACAAGTGAAACAACAGGGGGACCACTTACTGAAACTACAGGTTGTCCTACAACTAATAGATGGATCATGTCCTTTGTTCCCCTGGGGTGATTTAGACTACCAGTTGTTGGACTTTTCTGGTGAATGAATGGGTGCGACCTTGTGTTGATGGCAGTGGGGCGCCTCACTGTCATAATGTGGTTCCCAAAAGGTACTAGACTTTGTATTATATTAGAAGTTATGATCCTAAATATATACTATGAAACATCTTACCACTTTCTAAAACAACATTGTGTACTCATGCACGGCTGGTGATTTTCGGCCAAGCAGCCAATTATTGGTTTCCCCCGTGGGGCGGTGGGGTAGCCCAGCGGTTAAAGCGTTCGCCAGAGGCTCGGGTTCGATTCCCCACAAAGGTACAATATGTGAAACCTATTTGTGGTGCTCCAAAGGCCGTGATATTGCTGGAATATTGCTAAAAGCGTCGTAAAACTACACTCACTCAGTAACACTCACTACATTGGTTTCAGATATATTCATACGTATACCCATTTCATACTTTGTAAATACTTTCAGGAATTGGCAATGCGATGGTGTTTGCTCCAGCGATTGTGTTTCTTGGAGACCACTTTGAAAGGCGCAGAGCATTGGCCATGTCGTTGGCATACAGTGGAGGCTGTATTGGAGGGATGGTGTATCCCCCCTTCACGAGGTACATCCTGGACAACTATGGCGTGAGAGGAGCCATGTTATTACTTGGGGGGCTGCACCTCCATTATGTGCCTGCTGCCATGTTATTCGTCAAACCAAACATGATCAGGTACTTTGACACTTCCAAAGAACCTGAGCAAGATCTGGATGCCACGATCAAACATGCCACCGAAGATAAAATCGGTTGGAATAAATATTTTGTGTCACTAAAAGACAATCTACAGATCAGTCACATATCGCAAAGTATGTGTGATCTAAATACAATTAGTATGTTCCCTACTTTATGTCAATCTGACCAAAAAGTTCATACATTGAAATATGGTTTCTCAAACAATATTTTATCAGCTTCGTTGCCGTCGAAGTTGAATGCAAACCAGAACAAGGAGTTAGACCAGAACAAGGAGTTTGACCAGAACAAGGAGTTTGACCAGAACAAGGAACTTGACCAGAACAAGGAGTTTGACCAGAACAAGGAGCTTGACCAGCTTTATGCATTTGATTCCAAGTCAAGTCAGGTGGACACACTCGCACACAAAGGAAGAAGAAACATATTTTTCAGATGTTGCGATATGATGGACACGTCCTTGTTCACCAATCCTTTGTTCTTCGTCTTTATATGTTTCCATCTCTTTAGCATTGGTGTTATGTCATACCCGTCCTTTGTCCCATCGGTCGCTAAGGAAAATGGAATAAGCGATGAGAAAGGAGCTCTCCTTGTCACCATCCACGCGGGACTTGATTTGTTTTGCAGGTTATGTACAGGTTTCATAGCCGATCAGGGATGGTTTAAGAGATACAGACTGCTGGCAACGGCCTTTTTTATACTTGGGACACTGTACCAGTTTGTTGCTTACTATACATCGTTTCCTTTGATGGTAGTGTATGTGGTTTTGTTTGGGATGTTCAGTGGGTCCTACTATTCTCTGCATCCAATCATAGCCGTTGACTTTTTTGGGACAGAAAGATTTGCGAAGGTTCTGGGCTACGTCCAGTTTGCGCATGGATTTGTCATCACAGTCAGTTATCCCATCATAGGTAAGTCTCGCCGCTTAACATGGAAGTGCTTTGTGATTGTCCCTTTTCAAACCATAAACAAACAAAAGAGCTACTGTGAGTGAGTTATATTTTCACTTCACATATATTTCAGTGAAGTGGTGACAAAAGCAGTTATTTGACGATAAAAACTGTCAGAAAGGACAGTGAAATATTCGAAACATATCAGTTAGAGTATCTTAATTGTTGTTTCAGGTGAGGTGAGGTGAGGTGAAATTGGGTTTTACATCGTACTTGAGAATATTTCGCTCATATGACGACGTGCATGTGTGTGTATGTGTATGTGCAGCTGCTTGTACTAGCCCAGACTTAACCTGGTTTTATAGTGCTAGCCCACTGAGATACCATGCCGCAGTGAAGCATGAATACCCCACTCAGACACATTATACTGACTCCGAGCCTACCAGTCCTTGTTGTACCAATTAATGCCGAGCGCCAGGCAGGGACCAACAAGTACCATATTTTAACGTCTTTTGGTATGACGCGGTCGGGGATCGAACCCACGACCTTCCGCTCTCCGAGCGGACGCTCTAACCACTACACCACGGAGGCGGTCAGGTGTTGTTTCAGACCTCAGTGAACAAAATGCTAGGGAAATGCTGTCTGTAATTAATTGACTGTGGACCAGACAACCCGTGATTTTAATCGATTCCGGGCCAAATAATCCATATAATTAATCGATTCGAAACCAGACAATTTATTAAATTAATCGATTTTGGACGAGATAATCCATGAAAGTTATCGATTCTAGAGCAGACAATCCATGAACATCAAAGCTCGCCGTTGGGATATGATGATATGTCATAGTCGTATTGTCAACGAACCTGACCAACCAATCCTTTTGTGACAAGCATCAGGAGCTGTGATTTGATGTTACGTCGCCTTAAGTTTTGATGACGTATTATTGTTTAAAACTGTGTGTGTTTCAGGCAGTCTCCACGACCTGACCGGAAGTTACGTGACGTCATGCCATCTACAGGGGGCTGGGCTGTACATCGCTGCCATCTTGTTGCTGATAAAGCCACTCACAAGGAATACACAGTCGTCAAAATAGCGAGAATCATCCTCGATCATCTAGTGTGTTATTTCTCCATTCTATGATAATATTCCCCTGAAACGAATGATGGTTTCCTGTTGATGTAATATTATCTGATTCATATGTCCATCATTCAGTTGTGTAAAACGAATGTGAGTGTCTGCACCAATGTGAGGCACCAAAGTTAAAATTGACTTTTCACTGCGTGTGAATGTTTTCCATGGTAATATGTTATGTGAGAGAGCACGAGAAGGAGAGAGAGAGAGAGAGACACGTGTTTTCAAGTACCGGAAGTATTAATATTTTGAAACTCCGACTGAAGCTGATGAATTTCCAAATGATATTTCTTGACATCGTATATTGAATAAAACACGCAAATCGGAACACAAGCTGCAATTACTGCAAATGCATAACATACACCCCCTTGCTACAGAGATGGCAATATTCAGCTTACTGCAATATTCAGCTTACTGCAATATTCACCTTGCTCCAATATTCACCTTGCTGCAATATTCACCTTACTCCAATATTCACCTTACTCCAATATTCACCTTACTGCAATATTCACCCTACTGCAATATTCACCTTACTGCAATATTCACCCTACTGCAATATTCACCTTACTGCAATATTCCCCTTACTGCAATATTCGACCTACTGCAATATTCACCTTACTGCAATATTCACCCTACTGCAATATTCACCTTACTGCAATATTCACCTTACTGCAATATTCACCCTACTGCAATATTCACCTTACTGCAATATTCAACCCACTGCAATATTCACCCTACTGCAATATTCACCTTACTGCAACAGTGGTCAAGTATCCATAATTGGGCCTCGGCTGAGTATCCAGGGTAAGACTGATGTCAAGAATGTGACACGGGAATCAAACGCGTTGCACACCCGTGTGACACGGGAATCAAACGCGTTGCACACCCGTGTGACACGGGAATCAAATGCGTTGCACACCCGTGTCACATGCGTGTTACATGCGTTCTCAACGCGTTAAAGGGGAATTAACGTTTAGGCAGTAGTGTAGAGGCAAGGTATCATTTCAGTCGGACACGTGGCACCTTTGTATAACATAGAGGCAAGGTATCATTTCAGTCGGAGACGTGGCACACTGTATATAATATAGAGGCAAGGTATCATTTCAGCCCATACGTCACACCCATGTACGTGACCTACAAATATAAAGAAACCTGAGTGGAATAGTTGGGTTTAATGTACATATCACATAAATCCTTTTTGTAATTACTTGACGTTTTGTTGACACTTGACAAAGCATTATGTTGTTGTGGTAACGTATCCCTGATTTAATGTATCCATGTGAAAAGATACTGTGTGCTAAAAAATTTCTTATCGATAGTTATTGCTTCGTGCAGATATGCGTTTGTCATACTAGAGAGTTGCCGTAAAAAGTGTGTAGTTGTTCCCACTGAAAAGGCATAAAAAAACATTACCATTATATAGAAGCATCGCCAAATTAACCATATATCCAAGAACGTGGTATACATGACATGTTAAATGAGATCCCACTGGTATGATACTATGTTACCTCAGAATGAAATCAACCAATACCACACAGCAGTATTGTCAAAGTACATTTCCCATTGTACTGGATCCCAAGGCTCCACAGAAATCTACAAAAGGATATAGGGTCGGGTAAATGTGTCACCAAAGCTTTGATTTGACTTTCCATGGGCATTTGTTACTAAACGTAGGGAAATACACATGAATGTGGTAAAAACTGAATGCGAAATTTATTAGAAGCTATCTGGGAAAACCGTGAGGTGATTGGCTTTTTCCTTGATAATATCAATTCGAAGTTTGGTCATACAACATGCAAGCAAGAAGTAGATGTTCCCACGGGAACTAGTTGTGTTCCCTGCCTCGAGGATCGGGGTCCTTATGCATATGAATCGGAATTCCTTCCCGGACACTGGCGTTTGGCCACGAAGACTCACTCTAGGTATATTGTTGATCCGATAACGGTCGCTTCCACTGATGTACCTAACTTAACCAGAAACCATTTAAAGTAAATCCACCTCATCTGGTTCATATTTTGAAGAACCCGGGTCTGAGTTGGTCTTCAGCAAACTGTCGTAAATATAAAATGCCAGTGCAAGCGAATATTCTTCTTGATTACTCGCCGAAACTGAGTTATATCGGGCAAATTTGCTGGAAAATGGTATGAGAAGGCAACTGGACATCACGGAACACACCAGCTGTTGGCAACGGGGGTAAGCATGTGCTGGTCTACTGGTAGTACCCATCACGCACATATTGCATAAAAAGGTACAGCGAACTACGGTTGTTAACGAACTCAAGGTCACCACTACTTTCATTTCGGCATAACTGTATTTCGTAATACTCAGTTTGACTGAAATACAACACGTGTCCTTGACCCCAAAGTTTGTTATATTAGTAGTCTATTGTATTCATTGCCTTGTGCTGGTAAACAAACCAGACAATCAAGTGATCGGTGAACCAGAAGTCCTGTAACACGACGGTGCATAAATTGCTTTTGTGGAAAAAAATATATATAACGTTTAAGAAATATATAAAATAGAGTCAAAGTATCATTTCAGGTGGAAGATCCTGTTTGTAAGTAAAGGTAAACGTTTAAGAAATATATGTAATAGAGGCAAATTATCATTTCAGTAGGAAGATCCTGTTTATAAGTAAAGGTAAACGTTTAAGAAATGTATAAAATAAAGGCAAATTATCATTTCAGTAGGAAGATCCTGTTTATAAGTAAAGGTAAACGTTCCAGAGATGTATTAAATAGAGGCAAATTATCATTTCAGTAGGAAGATCGTGTTTGTAAGTGAGGTGAGGTGAAATTGGGTTTAACGTCGTTTGTAAGTAAGGGTAACCGTTTAATAAATATATTCCTTTTGCATCAAATTAACGGGAGGTTTAAAGGTTCTGCCCAAACATATCCTGTGTAGGTGGCTCAGGTAATGTTACTGGGCTACGAGGAACCTTCAGTCAACCAGCAGAAACTTGTACCCGTTTCGAGTAAATATGATAAGTCATTGCAAGAGAATAGCAAATCGGAATTGTCCGCCGAAACAAATTCCTCATGCATGAAGGGCTAAGTATCTGTGGAGAGTATATGCATGGAAGAAGCCAGTCAGCCTGACCAGTACAGTGGCTTAGGGTGAAAATAGACAAAAGCACGAAACTTTGCCAAGTGCTGGGGTAGATCATAAAAAAACATATTATGGGGGGTGCCCGATTTGTGGGGCCCACTTTCCGAAAATCCCAAGATGTCGTCCAGGATCGCCACCAAAATCAAGGATTTCCAAGTTTAACACTACATGAATTTCCCCGCTGGATTATAGCAGAAACCATTGCACAGTGCTGGGGAACATCAAGATAAAACATGCTTTTAGTGTGTTTTGGGCCTATTTTCCCCAAAATCCAGTACGGCCGCCAAAAATCAAAATCCACCCAGAATGGTCGCCGACTATAAGAGTTCTTCATTTGTTGCAATATGTGAGATATATTCGCCGTTCAAAGGTCTGTTTCTAATACTTTCAAGAAACATAACAAACAAGATTTATGTTTAGTAGTAAAAAATATGATTCATAATCCAATAAATGAAAAAGTTACTGTTTGATCAGTCATGTGACATCATTTTGTCAAATATCGATCTCTGTGATTCTGCATGTGTCATCGGGAGGATAAGTGGCAATCGGTGAAAATGAGGAGTGTTCTGAAGGACCAGGGGGTGGGGATTGCTAACGACCTCACAACTTACCAACGCAAGGAACTTCAACGACGACGCAGTGAAAACCCTACTATTTCAAGGGTAACAAACTGATGGAAGCACCCTGGGACGACCCGGATAGGACGACAGACACACCTGCACCCACCCAGTCTCCCTCACACCATGCTGGGAACACCTCGCGAGAGCGTAGCAACAGCCAAGGTCGTCCCCGTCGTGGTCTCAGGTCGGATTCGCGTCGCCTTCCAAGGGAACACTCCCACTAGGGGTGGGGCCAAGGCCACGATTATCGTAAACATTTTACGGTGCATCGGAAACGACCGGAGCAAAAAGATGTGACCTCTGCAACTGTTAACAATACATCGGACTTTGTGAACTTTGTGTTTTGGAATATTGGAGGGATAACACACAAATTATATGATAATGATTTTAATGATTATATCAAATCATTTGATGTCATTGGAATTAGTGAAACTTGGAGTGAGAATATAGATATCCATAATATTTTCCTTGATTTTGAGGTGATTGTAAAAGCAGCAGATAAAATATCTACCTGTGGAAGACATTCCGGTGGGATATTAGTCTTGATACGTGACCAGTTTTGTAAATATCTGAAATGGACTAAAACAACAGAAAACGCTGTTTTTATACTATTTGATCGTGCATTATTTGGTCTGGACAGAGATATCATCTACGCATGTGTATACATTCAACCAGAAGGCTCATCATGGTACGATAAACTATATCCACATTGTAAATATGGAATAATTTTATTTCAAGATTCATTATTAGATGTTGTATCTCATCTACCAGATGTTTATATTCTCTGTGGTGGTGATTTTAATGCTCGAACTGGCACAAACCTGGACTTTGTAGAGGATGATTTATTAGAATACACAGAAAATCAAAAAGAATCCTATTGGGACTTTTTAATTGATTTTTTTAATCTAAAACGTTTTTCCGCCGACAGAACTCTAAACAATTTTGGTAAAACCTTACTAGATCTATGTTCTACCATGAATATCCATATTATGAACGGGCGATGTGGCAGCGACCTAGAAACTGGGGATTTTACGTATATAGGCAATAATGGTACAAGCCTAATAGATTACATTATCTCATCATCGATATTATTTGACTTTGTTGGTGCTTTTAGCATACAATCTCGTATCGAGTCAGATCATTTACCAATAACACTATCAGTAAAGACAGATCATGTTAGATATTCTGACGGGTGTGACACACATCCAAATAATGCTTATAAGTTCTTCTGGGAAAACGATAAAGCTGAACAATTTAGAGAGAATCTGTTTTCGGATCATGTTCAATCATTACTTGATAAATCAGTTGATAATGCATTCACAAATATTGATGACAGCATTAAATATGTCACTAATGCTCTCTGTTTAGCTGCGGAAAATATGAAAAGAAAAATTGGTACATCAAAGAAAATATCAAACAAATGGTATGATAGTGCATGTGAGAAACTAAACGTTGTAAGCTATTAAATAAGTTTAGAAAATCGAAAGATAAGAGGTCATTTGAAGAATATTGTCAGATAAGAAATGAATATAATGTAGTATGTAAACAAAAGCGACTTGATTACTTTAAAGAAAAGCGGTTAGACATAGAAAATAGCATATGGGACTCAAAAATGTTTTGGCTTAAACTG